TTTGTTGGCTTAGAAATAGCAACTTTCTGATGTTATTAAATTTTCATTGCATACTTTTGAAGGCACTAAAAGGAGTTTTACTTACTTTTTTACTTAAAAAAATTTTTAAAAAATAGATTCGTACATGATGATATATAATATTATATTTTAAACCATTAACATATAAAACCCTTCCTTTAAAATCTTAAAACTGTTTGCCCTAACAGTGTTCGACAGTATTTGCTTTCCTTGAATTATGGGCAACTGTCGAATAAACTTCAAGACAAGCTTGACGAACGAGCATTGAATGAACTGTAAAGCGCCATAAAGTTCCGGATCGGATTTGAAGTCGTCCCAGTCTGAGTTTCAAGAGCCAGGCACGTGCTAATTGCTGACGCATCGAATGAGCCCCAAAAAGGGAGATAGAAAAGGGGGAGCGGAAGATAAGTGCTGGGAGAAAAGCTTGTTGAGGGAGTTCTGAAAGCCCAACAAACGATCGTCGTTATGACAGGAGATTAGGTATTGTCTGTTTATGTGACGTGTTTGTGAGTGTGTGTTGTTTTTCAATATGTGTGGGCGGTTGACGCAGCAAAGAACATAAAAAACAGAGGGGAGAAAGAACCAGAAGAATGAAAAAAGTGGAGATGTAAGATCGCACGGGAAGTTTCCAAACGGTTCCAGGGAATCGAGTGGAATGTCTTGTTTATGTTTGGACGATTTTTATCGATTAAGGATACGTATTTTAGTTGAGATCGGTGCGGGATAAAGTTAGAAACTAACATAAAAAGAATATTTTTTATGTGGTTTTAATTTTCTCAAACCACAAAGAACACAAAAATGTCTTGAGCTAATTTCGACACGACTTCGTTCCATTTTCCTCCATTTTCTCGTGGCATCCATCAAGTTGCCGACGATTCTTTTTGGACCTGCTCAACAGCTCTTGTGGGGCGATCGATCGATCGAATTGATGTCAAGTTCCGACGGTAGCACCCTACCCAAAAAATACACCCCAAGCAAAACAAAGAACATAAAAGAACCGAAACAGAACCGAAATCTTGGTCAAGCAGTTTCTGAGGTAGCGATCGTGCCAACAGGTAGGCGGTTTCAGCAAAAAACACAGCCAGAAAAATAAACAAAAAGCGCCAAGAAAACCCCCCGCGGCATAGAATCATTCATGAAAACAACTCAAGCCCACCGAAAAACAAAAAAAAATAAAATTAAAAACCAAATTAACAACAAATTGCAGAGGGGGGAAAATGTGCCAAAGCAGAGCCAAAAAAGAAATTATTTAACAAACAAACAAAGAATGAATTATAAAATGACGTTGCGGATCAAAAAATGGGGAGGCGAAAAGGAGAGACCAGAGAAAAAGGGGGAGCTGCTTGGGGAGAGAGCGAGCGAGCAGGCATTAATATATGAATGTGTGTTTGTATGGAAGTGCTCTCACTTTCTTTTGAAACTTGTTATTCGCTTTGCGAGCAGAGTTCATTCACATTTGGCCACGCCACACGGGAAGAGAGAGAGAGAGAGGGCGAGAGAAGTTGAACTGGAAGAAAGAGAGGGCAAATGGCACAGCTGTTCCCGAAAGTTCCCGAAAGCCGTACTCGAAATGAGTGCAAATCTCTTAACACCCCCAAGCAAAGGTGCAATGACCCCAGATTTTGCAGCTTAGATTGTTGGCTTCGTTAAAAATGCGCAAAAAATGTGTGCAAATTTTTAATTGCCAAAGATTTCCTTGAACGCATTTCGACAGTTATATATGCAAGTTATAACTATACTCCGCCCCCTGTTAAAGCCAAGCCCACCTGAGGTTTCTGTGTCGTTGACCGACCGCCAGAGCTCAAAAATCGCAAAAATATATATACATATATATATCTGGCTGAACTGCAAGCGAATTTGCATGCAAAATGCATTGAGAGCAGAGTTCTCTCTCACTCTCCTCAGTTCGTTCGGCTTCGGGTCTTGCCGTTCGGCTCGCTCGCCCCGTCTCTTTTCGGTCGCATATAGCCCTCTCTTTCGCAGCTCCACATTCGAAGGTGGCTGACCGAAAAGTGGGTCACGACAATGGCGGGGTTCGTTGAACTGAACCACCGCCGCAGTCGCTGTCGCTGTCGCTGCCTTTGCCGCTGCCTCTGCCACTGCCTCGGCTGACGTCGTTAACGTTTTGGGGCTTTTTGGTTACGTAGCTTGTGTGCGAGCGAGTGGGACTATGACGAAGTGCAAACGAGAGGGACTGCTTGTGTGCATTATTTGGCCTCAAAAAAAATCAAACAATGCGCACAAAATATTATTTAATACATTTATTAAATCATCTGGCTGGAAAGTGGAAAGTGGAGTTCATCGAACCTACAGCGATTGGCAAATTCTCAAAGCGGAAAAAATATTTGCTCAAGCATTCTGTTTGCATTTTGTTAATTAGGCGGGGATTGTCGCTCTATTTGGGTCATATTTGTAGAGTATTCAAGAAGTGGCAGAAACAGCTGCTCAGACATTTGCTTAGCAAAAGAATACTAAGATTACCTTTGGTTTTATGCAAATAAAAATATGACATTAACAATTAAGAAAAGTAAATATTTATGCAAAAGTTTTATGTTATTTATTAACTTTTAATGTTAGAATCCTTTCTTTTATAATATAGGTAATAACTCTATCTTAATCATTCTTAACATAACAAGAATTAGAGCTCCGCCCCCATCTCCTTGGGCTTAGGTGACCCCAAAAAAGCCTTCGGGAACATCGTTCCAGATCTGAGATCCTCTTAGGCCTGTCATACTCACATTGATGGCTCAGCCATCCAGCCAGCCCCCATATCAATTAATCTTATTTGTCACTCATTTATCAAAACATGAGCAAACACAATACCGCGTTAGGAATCTATGGGGAACAATCGAACAACCCGCCCGCCTCTGTTTTGTTATCAAACAAAGCTGATCAGTCAGGTGGCAGTGGCAGCAACTACCTGAGATACCTGAGCTACCTGAGAAATCAGAGTGTCGCGTGGGTGTTCGAGGAATTGTTTACCAGGCGCCCCCACTGCAGCAGCAGCAGCAGCAACAGCAACACCAACAGCAGCACCAGCGACAGTCCCCGCAGCAACATCTATTGTTAGACGCTGGCGTCGCTGTCGACGCTTGGAGTGAATGTCCTCAGTTGGCACACAAAAACAAAAACACAAAACGACAGCAGCAACATCAGTGGAAGCGAGATGGTGCGAAGGGGGAAGGGAGCACGAGAGAGCCACACGAAGCAACACGAGGCACAAAAAAGCCACTTCGGCTGGCACTTTTGTGTTGCTCTGGGTCGTTTTGTGTTGCTGGTGGACGCTGCTTTCATTCGCAAATTGCTCGTCGTTGGCAGCGGTTGTGCAGAGCAAGAAAAGCGCGCGAAAAATCATAATACAGCTGGATCAAGCGAAAGAGATAGAGAGCAGAGCCAACAGCAACAAATGTTCAATAGCAAATAATATCAAATATTTTTGTTGGTGCCAGTGAAGTGAGATCAAAGTGAAGTGTGCAATGTTCCTTATTAGCAAATCGTAGAGCAACCAACAATCGAGAGTTCAAGTGTCATTCTGAAGCCAAAAAGCAAAAATCTCTAATTCAAATATGGTTTGTGCAATGCAAGAGGTTGCTGCCGTGCAGCAGCAACAGCAACAGCAACTCCAACTGCCCCAACAGCAGCAGCAACAGCAGCAGACACAGCAGCAACATGGCACAACGATAGTGTTGTTGACGGGCAATGGCAGCGGTAATCTGCACATTGTCGCGGCACCGCAGCAACATCAGCCGATACAGCAGCAACATCACCATCAGCAGCAGGTCAAGAGCCAACAGCTGAAGCAGCAACATTCGGCATTGGTCAAGTTGCTGGAATCGGCGCCCATTAACAAGCAACAGCAGACGCCCAAACAAATTGTTTACCTGCAACAGCAACAACAGCAGCAGCAGCAGCAACAACACCAGCAGCCACAGCAACCGCAACGTAAAAGACTGAAAAACGAAGCAGCAATCGTACAACAGCAACAACAAACACCTGCAACATTAGTAAAGACAACCACCAACAGCAACAACACCCAGACAACAAATAGTATTAGTCAGCAGCAGCAGCAGATTGTTTTGCTGCTGCAACATCAGCAGCACCAGCAGCCTGCAACAGTAGCAGCCCCAGCAGCAACACCAAAGCCATGTGCCGATCTGAGCGCCAAAAATGACAGCGAATCGGGCATCGATGAGGACTGCCCCAACAGCGATGAAGATTGCCCGAGTGCCAACCCCGCAGCAACCTCGCTCGAGGACAGCAGCTATGAGCAGTATCAGTGCCCCTGGAAGAAGATTCGCTATGCGCGTGAGCTCAAGCAGCGTGAATTGGAGCAGCAGCAGACCACCAGCGGCAGCAACACGCAGCAAACTCAGCAGCAGCTTGAGACGAAGCCATCTGCAATACCCACCAGCAACATTAAGCAGCTGCACTGTGATAGTCCCTTTTCGGCGCAGACCCACAAGGAAATCGCCAATCTCCTGCGACAACAATCCCAGCAGCAGCAGCAACACCAGGTGCAACAGCAACACCAACAGCAGCAACAACAGCAACAGCAGCAGCAGCGAAGGGATAGCTCCGACAGCAACTGCTCGCTGATGAGCAACTCAAGCAACTCCAGTGCGGGCAATTGCTGCACCTGCAACGGCGGCGATGAACAGCAGCTGGAGGAGATGGATGAGGCTCAGGATTCGGGTTGCGATGATGAGCTCTGCGAGCAGCATCACCAGCGATTGGACTCCTCGCAGCTGAACTACCTGTGCCAGAAGTTCGATGAGAACCTGGACACGGCGCTGAGCAACAGCAATGCCAATACGGGGAGAAACACGCCAGCGATATCAGCAAACGAAGATGCCGATGTAGGTTTAGCATAGGGGGAATATTATATTTAGGACAATATATTACTTAAATTAATGCTTTCTAAAATTTTTAAAATGTAAATGATTATAATTTGCTAATTAATATTATATTTCGAATCATTACAGGGCTTCTTCCGTCGCTCCATCCAGCAAAAGATCCAATATCGTCCCTGCACCAAAAATCAGCAGTGCAGCATTCTGCGCATCAATCGCAATCGCTGTCAATATTGCCGCCTGAAAAAGTGCATTGCCGTGGGCATGAGTCGCGATGGTGAGTACCTTGAGTCTTTTATGCTTTCGAGAATTATGCAAATATCGAATAAGGGAGGCAAATCTAATAGAACAGGCCAAATTAAATCAAGCTCAAACAAATGCTAGCAGCAACACCAAAGCACAGCAGCAACATTTAGAGAGACGAAAAGCGCCGAGCGCCGAATGCCACACGAAGTTGGTGTTCGGCTTTTGGCTGAGTTCATTGACCAGCCGTGAACGAAATTTTGAGCTCTCAGTGTGAGTGTGGTGGATGTATTGCAACATTTCGCTTGGCGCGATTTCACGGCAAAGTAAAAGTTGTCTATGTCTATTTTGTTTAAACAAATTCCCCGAACAACAAAAGCAAAACGAAGCACACCCGCATGATAAATTGAGAGCAGGCTGTCGGCGAGAAGTGTGCGCCATTTCGAAATGGTGTTAAAAGTTGAATGAACGCACTTAACCCAAATCCATAATGGAGACAGCAGAGCGAGGCCATCAGTCTCTCTCTCGCTCTCTCTGGGTACGCTCCCACTCTTTCTCTCTCCGTTACGCTGACTGCATTTGTTATTATTGAGTTTTGTAATAATTTGTTTAAATTAAGCTCACAGCCCGGAAAATATTTACAGGAAATAGCCAGCGATTATGAAAGCGCAACACACATAACACACACACACAACTCACAACCAACACTCACTCAAACTCTCTCGCACTCTCTTTTCTACGTTCATTGACTTCTCGCTGGGCGGCCATGTTTGCTGTTTGCAGTGAAAACGAAAACGAAAGTGGCTCAGGAGTGTGTGAGTGTGTGTAGGTGAGGGAATGAGATGGGGCTGGTGGGGCAGAGTGAGACGAGGTGACGCTGTTTTGTAGGCAACACGCAGACGCGGCCTTTGTGTAAAATATGTAGTATTTGTTGCTGGCTTCGATGTTGTAATTGATGGATTAGATTTTGATATTTCACTTCGTATGTGGAGCGAGCGAGTGTGGCAATGGGAAAGTAAAAAAGAGCAGGAAAAATATTAAGTAATGTTAAAAAATATATGTAATACATGAAGTAATTATGGAAAAAGTTGGATAGAAATATGTTTAAAAGGCTGACATGGAAATATGGTTACAATCATTGAAAACCTTTTAAATTGGTTTAAAATACCATTTATTATCCATTATTAACCTTTAATTAAAGATATGACAAGTAACTCATTTCATGACCTTCTTATAGAACAAAATCATTTTCCATATCATTGTTTTTCATATTTATCCCCAATCAGCTTTGACAACTATTTTTATGCCTTTGTTTACCGCCGCCAAACATTAATGAGGCCCCTGCGCTGTCGCCATTAAAATCCTACCATTAATTAGCCACTAACCTAGAGCCGAGTGCAATATTTTTTAGCAAATCCTTGAACTAGTTCTGTGGCTAGAGCAATCCAAAGCTGCTGCCAAAAATAAGTCATGTGAACCGAACAAAAATTCGACCGCCAACCAAATAAACGGCAAACTCGAACTCGGCAACAGCAATGAAATGAAATCGAAAAAAAAAAACAGAAAAACAACCAAAAAAATGAAAGAAAAACAAAGAGAAAAAAGCAAACCAACAAATTTCGAATTGTTTATAATAAAAATGACCGTGTGCTATTTAAGCGACGGCGACTGCGCTGCCTGTTGCCTTATCTTTCAAGGAAAATTAAAATAAAACGCACACGCCAAATAAAAAAAAAACAAAAAAAAAAAACATACGACGAGGGCCGCTGATGAACAATTTACAGTTATAAAACAAGAGCGGCGGACTGACCTAGAAAATGCCAACGAAATCATAATTTATTTTTTGTTTATAAAAATTTACAAAAAGAAGAGTCCACCACTACTTTCACTTTTTGATTAAACAAGAAAAAACAGCCAAGAAAAAGGCAAATATAATTGGCGGCCATTTCGAAACACTTTCTTTTTCATTTCGTTTCGTTACATTTCGTCTGCTTTCATAATTTCTTTGGCCAGTAATAGGCGCCATTTTGTTGGTGTTTTTTGTGTGTTTTTAGTTTTCTTTTTGGTATTGCAAAGACACGAAAATAACGCAAGAAATGAAAACGAAACCGAAATTTAGCGCACACAAGCGCCCCCCTCGAAAAAGTCAAATAAAATACGTCCCAACTCAGCTCAGTTCATTGACCGCCGCTGACGTGCAGGAAAACTGGGTCACCATTGGCAGCGCAGCGGCAGCAGCAACAGCAGCGTAGTGGCAGCGCGGCAGTGAAGGTGGTTGCAGCTGTGTGAGTGATTTTTGTATCAGTGTGAGCGCCGATAGTAAACAGCAAAGAAAAAAAACAGCAACAATGAACACAATACAACACTCATTTTGCATTTGATTTCGCTTGGAAATTTATTAGTTCACCGTGGGCTGGCCAAAAAAAAAAGATATAGTATATATAGAAACAATATATCGTTGGATTTTTCTAGCTATATATATATTTATTTTTGTGGTCGCTGTGCTTTTCTTTATTAGCTGGCACTTGCACATGCACATGCACAGGCACAGGCACACATGCTGGCTTTTAATTGAAATGAACTTAAATTAGCGCGAGGTTAGGCAAATTGAAAGTAAATATGCAGCACGAACGAGAACCGAGGTAAAGCCCGCGAAAAAAGGTGGCAGATATAAAGTAAATAATTCTAAATTAAATTATAAAAGTTAACTCAAAGTCTTAAAATACAAATAGATTTTTATATCTTACATATCTTCCTCCAAAAAATGAGTGCTTGGCCAATAAGTGTGGGGCAAATAGATAACCGCACCTAACAACAGCAACATGCACAGCAGCAATTAGTTGCTGGTGTGTCCCAAAAGCACATAAAATAATCAAACAATTGTCAATTATCGAAGGCACAGCATTTTTTCTATATATATATATATATATACATACATAAATATATATAAACGAGCAACTACGACATGCTCGTTGCTGTTGTTGTCGCAATCATTATTATTTTGAGGCTACACACACACAGCAACAGCAACAGCAACACAGCACAGCACAGCAGCAACACCACCAGCAACAACAACAGCATGCATGTAGATTTCGCCTTGCCTCGCCGCTGCGAGTGTTTTGAACTTTATTCAGGTCAATTACAAATACATTAAAATGCCAGTGCTACACACAGATACTCATGGCAAGCTGTTGACTAAAATAATATTGGAGGCTACACAAAATTTACAATAACAACGAGAACAAGGCGGACAAGGAGACCAGAGACCAGAGACTATAGACTAGAGACTAGAGACCATAGACCAGTGGCAACGGGCTTGGGGTTCGGGGTTCGGGGTTCGGGGTTGGGGATTGGGGTATTTGGGGTTGGGCCTTTGGTAGGAATTGAACACTTGGAACAGTTCAAGGAGCCTTCGACTCGGCTCATGAGAGTGGGCGCGTGAGTGGGCGGCGCTAAAACAGCTCACAGCCTCAAGTACAAAATGGTAATGATGACGATGTGGGTGAGGTTCTACAGTCAGTCGGTGGGGGGTTAGCTACTCAGGCTGTTCTACACATTTAGTGAAGGTTTTTGCAGGGTAAAAGAAAAGATTGAACTGGTCAGTGAAGAAGTTTATAACAAAAATAACGCAAAAAGTATTGTTAACTCAGTTTCTTAAATAATTTTGATGTATTTGGTATTTCTAGTATTTTTGGTATTTTTTATTAAAAACGCTTAAAATATGTTTTAATGTGTAAAATACATAAAATCAGTCAACAAATGAAAAATACTAACTTTTGGTATTTTTTGTCTGATCAGTATTTTCTGGTATTTTCCTGGTTTTCCCTTTTTGGGCCAAGTTAGTCTCCTCCTTCAACGCTTATACAATTACTTACTGTCCATAAGTGAAATCATTTCACGCGTGTCATCCATCACCGAAAAAAGGAGGAAAAAGTCAGCAAAAAGAGAGCAGCGAAAAAATACTTCGGCAACGGCAGCTGCTTGACAACTTGAGTTTTTAGCCGCCTGCTGACGCTTCTTTTATTTATTTTACTTATTTTTTTCTTGGCTTTGGTTACATAAAGTTGCTGCCTGTCTGTCTTGCTGCCTTCACCTGCCTCACAAAAGGCAGCCACGAAAAAAAAATTGTTAACGGTGAAATTGCGAAGAAAAGAGCGCCAAAAGCAGCGAAAAAGAAAGAAAAAGAAAAGAAGGCAAGACCCAAAAGAGTTGGCAGCCAACGGCGAACGTAACAAACTTGTTTTACACGAGACGCTGGCGTCGCCTACTACGCAAGTTGAACCTTCAAAAGGTTCATTTACCTCTTGCCACGAAGAGCGTTCGTCTGGCGAACGAGCTGGGCTTTATACGTATATTTTTTCCCGGGGAGGAGCGGGCGAAATAAAAAATGTACTTTCGCTTTTTTCAATGCCTCGGCGCCAAAAACTAGTTTTCCAGCTCTCAAATCTGCTCTCTCAGAGAGCAACATTGCAGCAATATTGCTGTTGCTGTTGGCTTATGTTGCTGCTGCTGTTGCAGTTGCTGTTGCTCTTGGTGTTGCTACTACTGCTGCTGCTGCTGCTACTTTTGGGCCACAGTTAAACGACCGAGCCGCAGAGTTCAACGACTCTTGTAAAATTTCTCGAAGGTTTCGCATTGCAACATCCAACTTGTTCGAAGTCGAAGCTGCATTTGCATGCCGTCTCTCTCGCTCGACCCGAGTATGCCCCTCTCTCTCTCTCGTGTGCTGAATGCTGTTCATTGCACTCGGCCTCGTTTCGTTCGGCTGCAATTTTTGCACGACGTCAGAGGCTGAGCGAGTATGGTCTTGAGGGGATTGCGAAGCAGAGGTTGTGGGGCCAGCGGCAAGGGGTTAAAGCGAGGGGCTTGCAGTTTGTCGCCGAGTGCAGCGACTTCTATTTGGGTCAGGCACGGTCATTCGCCTCTGCCGCATTCGCATTCGCATTCGCAGCAACGACGACGGCGCGGCATTGGCGCGCATTTATTCGAAAATGATTAGACACGAAATGGAATAATTTTTGCGTACGCGTTTGA